GCCAAATGCCGATCAGCTTTTTCTTGAAGTGTTCGAAGTAGGGCCATTCTTTGCAATTTTGCATTTCTTCTCTAGAACAAAGCAGTGAAATGTATACGTTACAACAGATTTAACTTTAGTGGTGCTGACACACCAACAATTATCAAGCGCCTATAGTCTACTTGTGATATGATAATCACAGATCGTGAATCTGAAATCAAATGAACTCAAGTATTTTTTGTTACAAAATGAATCCTCGATCATACTCACTTCCTCCTCTTCGCGTTTTTTTGCTCTTTGGGCCTCCAATATGGCATGTCTTTCTTCCTTGATACGTTTTGCTTCCTCCTCCAACTGTCGAGCTTCTTCTTCCTGACAATACAACAACATCGATTAAGCTACATACTAGTGCTTAAACGAAATTGAAAATCAAGAGATCAGTAATTACGGTTATCTGAAATCTACGATTAAAGAAGTCCATCGTACGTCATCATCGTAACACAGCTAAAAACCTTAATGATCGCTGTCAAACTCACAATGTATGCAAAGTGAATAGTCATATATAGGGTAGATTGGAAGTAAGTCTCATTTGAGAGACGGCGTAAAAAATTGAACCTCTAAGGCCAACGAAAAGAACCCTCAGCATGTGTACAAAAAGAACTTTTTCATTCTGATCAAACAATAAATAACCAGAAAACCACTGTCTTTGGGTTACTGTCATGTCCTTAATTATATCAAATCGGATGCAGTTTAACCCATGGTAATCTATCCTCCCCCCATATTTTTTGGGACTTTACACATTAATTCTTGGCCTTGACTTGCATGATTTTAGCCTTGGTATCAACGTATTTACCGACTAGCATAAGGGCATGTATCAACGGCTAGGTTGTATTTTTATCCAGTAATAAAGGGTGTTTTGAAAACAGCCGAAAGACCGACGATGGGGAAAAACCCAACCACGGCACAATGACAAAGGTAAGAATGTATTTATACCTGCTTAGTGCAACAAATAGGCTCAAATAATTCCATTTCGCCTGTTCGCTGAGCTTGGCAATTTTCTTACAAATGCTTCATCACCAGTCAAGGTGACATCGTCAAGGATTGTGAAGAGGCAATGTTCTGCTTGTACCCCTTCATTTATGTGTGTTCTTTTCCATCAACCATAATTTGCGTAACTGGAACAATCTCGTAAATTGTTTATGATACCTGGGGATGTGAAACAAATCATCCGAAAAACAACCGTCCTAGCACCAATACGAAAAGGAAAACCCAACACGCTATCAAACCGCGAGGTCAAAGGATTTAAAACATTGAAGATGGACAGAAATATCATCATCCTTCCAGCAGATAAAGTAAGAATTATTGTGGTCGTGAACAAAAAAATCGTCAGTGGGATCACCAATTTCTGTATTCATAACCGAAACTGTAATGCTGAAGCTGAAAAACGGAGTACTACCAAGAATCATGCAAAAACTTTGACTCCGACACATCAACGACACCTTTGTCATCTTGAAAAAGTTGGAGCTAGAAAAAACGGACAACATCATCAATCACATGCAATGGCAGAAAATTCAAAATGGAGACAACGAATAACCAACTGGCATTTCTGACAATCTCGATCATCAGGAAACCTGGAAACAACGGTCTACCGCAAAGCAACGGATAAAGCTTAAACTTCAAAAGAAATAATCTACACACCCACAAACGATGCTGAGTTAGGACCCTGACCGGAAGAATTCCAACGCACTGCAGCATCGTCATACTCAAGAAGAAGATTCTTCTTCAAAGTATTTCCTCGCAATGGCTGTCACCGCGGCTTCACCAAAAGAAGTCTGACTCAGAGAAGGAAAACAACAACAGACGGAGATTCGGGAAATACAACGACCCGGTCGTGCATCATGGACGTTTCGGAAATGACGAACAAAATGCTCGGATCTTACGGAACCCAAGTCGCCCACTAAACGACCGCCTGCCTACGCAGAACTCATTCAAAACCAAAGATGGCAACAGTGAAGAAAAACAAGAACAATGTTATGTGCAGAACAAACTATAAGAACTGCCCGAAAAGCTATATCAGACAAACTGGAAGAAAACCATCTAAAGAATACGTGAACATCAGTCAGCAAACAGGAGACAACCCACAATCGTTGATTTCCCTCCACGAAAAAAGAATTTAAAAGGCCCGATTTTTTATGGAAAGATACTGATTATTATAAATGCACAGGATACCGAATTAAACTGAAAGGAAGAGACTACAACAAAAGTTGCAGGGCTTCAAACAACGTCTTATATTTAACTAACGTCCTACAGTAATGTGTCAGTTTGGTCTCTGGTCATCAGGTTGATTACCAAATTATCGACTCTCATTTGAACTGAGGAAAGACTCATGTCGATACAACGCTTTTGAGTGCTCCAATGGAGCACACGATCCGAAATCAGACGCTCATGAAATGCAATGTAATACACACAAATGGAAGAACAGAGAGAGGAAACTCACTTTTCGTTTTGCTTCGGCCAGTCTTCTGCGCTCCTCTCGTTCGGCTTTCAGTCGAGCTCTTTCTACTGCTTGCTGTTCCATTCCTTTTAAGAATAAGATATTCAGTAAATATTTGTTTACAATCATTCACTGCCATCAGGGAGTAACGCAATTTCCATTTGGGCTCTATACTTGACTCATCCATACGTTCATCGCATAATCCCATAGCTAAATTGGCTTTTCTGATGCAGCTGATCAATAGCTAAGCTTATGTAGAATATCAAGTATGAAATTATCGTGTGTGACTGCCGTTTATATTTTGACAAACCACAGTTGTTAGCTGGCAAGAAGCACAATTTGGAGTTATTTTCAAGTTGAATCAGTCATCATTACCAATCATTATTTATCAAAATAGAATGTTCAATGGAGTTCAGAGAAAAGTAATCTGTTCTGTAAATTAGGATAGTAAGAAAAACACTATTTAAAAGGAAAATGTACCACTTCGTTTTATGCTGGCAAGTGAGATAGCCGGATGGTCTCAACTGAGACTAAACAGAAATCAAATTTGTAGGGTCATATTCTTGTTTTCAGCTTGTTGTAAAGTACACCTTATGAAATTGGTTGCTGCCTGCTGGCATTGACTGGAATTGTAAACATCAAAAGTTATTCAAGCATGTTTTTGCATTTCATCCTTGCATGCCGTAATCAGATGCAGTATTCGGGGTCTGATGTTACACAGAGAATTATGATTAACGTACATATAGGATTTATAAGTATATAAATGAAAAAAAACATTTAAGTTTTTAGCCCAATTAATTAGCGCACCAATTGCACAGTATTATGGAAACCCATCTGTAATTCGTCTGATAAGGGAAGCCATTATATCATTTTATCACAAATCCGAAAAAATAGCTTTGAATCTGGCCTAGACGAAAATACTTCATAGTACTGTGAATGCTGTTATAGAACTTTCACTCAATTCGTAAATAGAAACTCTTGTTGGTTTATTAAACCTGTCATCATAAACAAAGCCTTATCCATTGAACTTAGAGAAGTACCCACGGGCAACAACTCACGGAAGGCTCTCCAAGAACTATGCATTGATTCTATGCATATTGGGAGGCCAGTTGTCCGCCGTGGGGGAATGCTCCGGACCTCACCTTACAGTGCTTGGCTCCCAATGAACTGTAATTAAACCTAATCGGTTGATTCACCCAACACCAATTCTGTCACACTGCACTGCAAAATTACAATAGAGTATGCCGCATTCATGGATGATTATTTAAGTTTATGTCCATTTATGGAGCTACAATGAGTCGCAATATCTCCCACTCGAAATTCAATATTTCCACATTGCCACAGGTGAATTAAAAGTATAGTTAAGACAAGCTGATACTTTGAAGGTTTTGAGTTTAAAGAATACGACTTTTTCACAGCGAAAAATTAATCTCGAGGGCACCACAACGATGGATGCATCATGCTCGACACACAAAACCCACATTTCACATATCCTTCAAAGTTTACTTTTTCCCCAATGATCTAAAGTGAAACTTACGTTTCAGGAAGTGATTATTCACACACTTTACCGAACTCGTGATTCCTGAACGGGCAGAATTCGCACGCAGTACACAGTTTTCATCCCCAACGATCTCACCGGAATGGTGCGTTCGGTCAGATCGATTGGTGTGCTCTCTTGCTGATCTGCATAGAGGTCATTAGAGTCGAAAATTGAACAGAACCGTGTGAGAGCGCCAACCTCTACCAAAACAATAATGTTTACTGAACGATACTACTGAATGATATTACTGAACGATATACGTCTTCCTGAGAGCTGCAACCGAAATTTATTGAAAAATGCTAATAATACACACAAATTAGTAACAGCACCAAAGTGTTTGCTCACCTCGCCGTTTTCTAAAGTGAACAAACTATACCTTGCCTGCATGCTGATGGGTTCATTGGTGATATTCACGTAAGTATAATTATCGAACAGTCTTCTTGTTATCCAATCCGTAAGGCATTATAAAAGAATCACCCTAACAATACTTCGAAGCCGACTATTCCCGAAATAACTCCCTTAGATGCAAGCGATTTTATTCTGATCAGATTCATTCGAGGTGGAGTACAAGTAGAAGAATGGCTTCCCAGAGGAGTACCGGATACCTGATGAGCAGCAATAAACGTGAAACCGATTGCGTGTTTCTGAAAAAAAGTTGACCAAACTTTTCATATACCACTACATACATATTTCATGCGTGAGCCAACACTATCCACTTTGTGAAATATCATCTGATCTAATGAATCGGAGTTCTCTCTATCCTGGAATCAATTAGGTAAGCTAAGATCAGTTGTGTCAAGTTTTTATTATTTTCCTTACCATTGGTTAGATTGAAAGAAATATTCTATCCGATTTGGTGGACAACGTTATTGGACGCAAAGAAAAAGCAATTCTTACACAATAGCGGATGAAAATGAATGCTGTGCGGTAGATTTTTAGTTCCCTCCCCCCCCTACCCCCGAAACCTCATAGATCACTCATCACAATATAGCTAATTTCAGAGTCGTCAGAGAAACTATTTTCATGACCAGCCTAATTTATTGTTTTTAAAAATAATCATTACGTCGTCAATTATCGTTGTGCTGTCTCGTCAACACTATCACCGAACCTAGTCCCACGGTGTGTATCCCAATGACCCCAGTCAAAAGACAGTTACGAACATTGTAATTTTTTACTGGTAGTGTCAGCCGAATGTGGACCGAGGAAGGGAGAAACGTACGGTGTATATGGGGTGTCTCACCATCTAGTCATTTGTCCGAAATCGGGGTTGCACGGGTGGAGATCGGGGGAATGTACAAATCAAATGACCGTACTCTGTTCGTTGCCCTGACGCCCACGCATCCAGTGCAATCAAGAAAACAGCAATATATTCATGCGGTGGAGGCTGGTCCCAACACAGTTTGGGTTCATACGGTCAGGATTCTGAGAGGAACGTTAGGTTGCCTCAGTGATTGTTGCTTGAATAATTTTTTTATCTACTACGAAACAAAACTTGTCCACCACACTGTCGATAATCGGATCCAGCTTATTCGCACTTTCAAGAATTGGTTTCTTGTGTAACATTTGTTTCTGACATTAGGAAATGAGTAGCATATTCATCGATATTACTAAGGAAAACAGATATCCATTAGAGGGGATACATACACCGAATCTCTTGTCTTACTTAAATCAGCTCGTCGACCGACAGAAAACCAAAACTGTGGCCTCTCGCCAATGTATTGCATGTTTTTAAGCAAACTAGAAAAGCTGATAGATTTCAAAGAATACATCAAACCCAAATGTGGGATCCCCAATTGCAATGCAAACACTTGATAAGCGACAACATTAAGCAATAACCGTTAGTTTTAATACCGATAATTTTTTTACAACGTTTTATTTGTTTAGCGTTCCATGTAGTCTTAAAGAAGGTACCAGATTTTAAAACTATAGAATTTACCTTCATTTTTTATTCTTTCCACCAAATGGGAAAGCGATAAGCACACCACACTGTCCATTTAAGGCAAAGATTTTCTCATACATCACCAATCGCCTAAGTAATACCTACTGAGTTTTCGTTTTGCACGTTGATTTCGTCTCCTTGGGATCCTTTTCGTCAATGTTGCAGCATGTTCGTGCTGATTGCGTTTGATTAAATGAGGGCTGCAAGAGATAGAGAAGCAGTGCTAAAATTAAACAGTCAGACAGCAGATGATAGTACGTTGTCACGATAGCTTAGACAGAAAATAGAATTTTCTTCATTTCTTTAACAATTCTGGTTGAGTTAAGGTTTTGTCATTAAGGATAACAACTCAAATGCTACACAAGACCGGCATAATTGGGTGAGTGCACAAAATACAAATAAGTCCACGATACATCGGTCGTCGCGAGGCATAAACAGGACCGCTCGGCCCATTACATCGTGCCAGGGTAGTCACAAGTAGACTACTGAGCAGACAACCTAACCTTTGCTCAGTTGTTTGTTTTCTATACCCAACACTCTTCCCATGTCCCTTCTTGTGACGCGTAACATTCCCCTGACAAATTGTTCGTCCTTAACCAAAGTTCTTTGTCAAGTACCGCTAGGCAGTTTACCCTAAAATAGAATGCAGCTTCTGGAGTCTCGTCAATCACTTAATCAGAGGGCCTTTAACGTAGGGACTTTAACGCAGGTGGGTCAACAACCATATCTGGTGCGTTCAACGGACTCTTTGGGGATTGGTATCTGGTGTGTATCGAAGACAGGATCCTAGTATTACAAGCCACTTAAGTGCTCCGGATTTGCTTTCAAAGTGTGGTGTTGTAGATGAATTGGATCAGATTAGACGAGCAATGCACTTCACGGCAAAGATGATATGTAATATGAACCGTTAGCCTGTCCGAGGCATTGGAAATCCGATTAGTCAGTAGTCCGAATGGTGAAGAAGCCTCAAGAAAGATCGTGAAAATTGCTGGGTAAAACGTTCTGGTGATATGGAAGTAGCAGCTACATCGGGGGATAGAAACTGTTCTAACAGATACGCAACACGGGAGGTCAGTGACCCCCAGTTAGTGAAACAATTTTCGACAAAAGCGGAACAAAGTTTCGACTGGTGGACGGAGCACTTCAACGAACAGTTCAACTGGTCCGGCGCTGGACAGACCATCTCCTCTATTTTAGTTGAGGCTCCGTGGGCAGTGTCATGTGAACCTCCTACAGAAGCAGAAGTACAATTTTGCATCCAACTCCTGAAGAAAAGAAAAGCAGCAGGACCTCTCACTCTTTTCAATATGGGAGGCGATGACCTCGTGCACTCCATTACTAATTTACTGCAAAACAGTCGGAAGCAAGGGAGCATTCTATCATCCTGGAGCGATTCACTGATCATTCAAATTTTAAAGGGACCTCACAACAACTACGCAAACCACCGTGAAATAAGTTTAATCCCAATCGTCACCAAGGTACTGGCCTCCGTCTTGACATCTGATCCCCTTCAGGGAGGCGAATATCCGTGAGGTCGTTTCAACCAAATCTTCACGCTGCGTAAAGTCCTCGAGCTACGCCATACATACCGTCGACCGACGACCGCAGTGTTTCTTGATCTAAGAGGAGCCTTCAACTCACTCGATCGCTAAGCTCTGATGGGTTCGCTTCTTTGCCAAAGAATGCCGTAGAAGTATGTGATACTATAAAGCTCAATCTACTAGCATATTTCTGGTAGCGTAAAAGTTTAAGGCGAACTGAGCAG